TACTCATTAAATTTATTACTTTATCTATGTATAATTTATATTTTGTTTGAGAATTATTACTACATCTTCCTAAAAATCCTATACTTATTAATAAATTTTCTCCTGAAACAACATCTTCATATCCATGTGTTTGAATTCCTATTTTAATTTTTTCTGAAAAATCTTTTATGGTTAATAAGAAATCTGGATTACAATATATAATTCCATTATTATCATTCATATCTACTTCTGTACTAGTTATCATACTCTTTTCTATATTTTGGATTCTTTCATCATAAATAGTTAATAAAATTTTATTTCCTAAATTTTTTTTCATTAATCCTTTAATTCCTATTACTATTAATCCTAGATGCATAAATCTAAAATTCTTTTTTCTTAATTCTTTTTTAGATTCTTCTGATATTAATGATAATTGTCTTACTTGACCATCTAAACATTGAATTGATACTTCTCTAGTATGTTTAAAAAATTGGGTTCTTGATTCAAAAATTCCTCTATTATATAAATTTTCTGGATTAAGTAATTGTAGACCATGAGTTTGAAATCTATTATAATCTTGTTCAGGATCTATAAGTTCTTCTATATTCTGATTATACTGAGGCTGTCTATGTAAAATTCTTTCTATTATATTTGTACTTATATTAGAAGTACTATGTCTACCTCTATCATAGGGTTCTGAAGATGATCCTACTTCTCTAATAGTTCTTGATCTACCAGGAAAATTATTCATATTTTATAAAATGTTGTAGATAATTTTCTAGTTATTTTTTCTTTACCTGTATTTTTTAAACTTAATTTGTCTAGATTATTTATTATATTTTCAATTTCTTGATTTGGTTTATTTTCTATATTATTTAATTTTTTATTTATATTTTCTATTACTTCTGTAGTCTTAAGATCTGAAAATTTTTCTTTATCTTCTACTCTAGAAATTTTGTTTAAAATTGTTAAATTTTGTTCTTTAATAAAATCTAGGTTTTCACGAATTTTATTAATATCTTTCTCAATATTAAAGATTCTTTTTCCTAAAGCACTTAATTCTCCAGTTAATTTATTAGTTTCTTTTATTAAAAGATCCAGTTTAAAAACTCTAATCTGAATAATAAAAAGAATCTAATGAAAAATTTGTATGATCTGATAAATAATTATTATCTATATTATCTAATTCAATCCTTAATTTTAAATCTGATATAAATATCTGATCAAAACTATTTATAAAATATTCTTCTCTAAATTCTGAAATTAAAGATCTATATAAAATCTGTTCTTTTAATTCTAGTTGTAAATTTTTAGTCACTTGTAATATAGCAAATAAATAGTCTATAGTTTTATATTTTTCAAAAGAAATTAATTCTATACCGTATTCAAAAATCTCTTCTATTTCTTTATAAAATGTAAAACTATGGAATATTTTTTCTAGATCTACAAATAAAATTCTAAAAATCATAAAACAAGTAAGTATTTTCTAAAGATTAAAAGAGTTATACCTTTTCCAAAATCTGAAGAAATATACTGAAATCACCAGCACCGGAACAAAAGCTCTGATACCAAAGAAGGGGGGTCCCTGAAAAAGGTTATTTCAAGGATTTGAAGGCTGTTGTAGGCGGTTTGTTAAATTATGAAAAATCATACTCAGTACTCTTCTTAATTAGATGTCTTTTTCTTTTGATAAAATAATATCCCTTTTTTTTTTTTTAAATCATGACATCTGAGATATATGAACTTGGGCCTAACTCCATTCTTGTAAGGACACCACTGGCACTCCCTTAACAAGAATTCTTAAAACAGTGATCCCTTTCCCTCTTCTATGCGTCTCCTAGCCTCTTCACTGGGCCTTTACGCTTTGAGAGGTCACTCAGGGCTTATTTTAAAAACAGTTTAAACTTTTAACTTGGAGTTAAGACATGTTATTATCATATACTCAGCATGAAACATAAAACTCTTTACAAAAATCATAAAACTTTTACAAAATGAAAAATTTATGAACAGAAATTGTTCTTACAAGATCTGGAACTAATATTAACTATTAGCACCATATCTTAGAACTATAAAACATACCTACCGGAATGATCCATCGGTAGTTTTTAAAACAACATATTTTTGTGGGATATTATTCTATCAAAAGAAAAAGACATCTAATTAAGAAGAGTACTGAGTAGGATTTTTCATAATTTAACAAACCGCCTACAACATATTTCAAATCCTTGAAATAATCTTTTTCAGGGACCCCCCTTCTTTGGTATCAGAGCTTTATTATGAATCTTACTGTTTACAGACAAGAGTTTTCAGACTAAACCCAATCACTTGAAGACTTCTGTCCAAGATTTCAAGAAAAAATCAACAATTATTGTACGAAAAGTAGAATCTTTACTGTTTTCTTTTTGAAAAATTTGTAAAGAATCTTACTGTTTGATAAAGTAAGATTTGATAGGATAGCTTTTTACTATTTTCTTTTTGACGTTTTGAAAAAAGCAAAGATTCCTTGCTTTTGAAAAACGCTTTCTCTCTCTTTTCTCTCCTATATAAGGAGACCATTCTTTCATTTGTAAACACACAAGAAAATATATACAATACAAGTTTTTATTTCTCTGAAATATGTTCTAATCTTCTTTCTCTCCCGAAAGGGAAATTCTTAATTGTTCTTAT